GGTATCGGATCCGATACCGATACTGGTATCGGAATCGGGACACCTGTAGCAGAGACCTGTTCCCCCAGATATTTTTGGATGATGAACATTTGTATCAGGTCAACAAAACATGGGCATAGTAACAATATTTTTATACTACATTTATCCATTTCAAATATACTAACCTCACTCCTTTGTAACAACTAAGGCAAAAATGTAAACAATTCAGAAAATCTTTTCAGGACCCCACCTTGATGTTTTAGGACCCCACTTTGGGTCCCGACCCCAACTTTGGGAAACACTGCTCTAAGAGTATTACTTGAGTAAAAGTTAGGGATGCACAATTAATTGGCATTAATATCGGTATCGGTCCGATATGTAAAACTGAGGCAATATTAACGTCCAATATTGATTTCCCACTTTTTTATATTTGTGTTTGTGTTTTGGGAGGGGAGATGGTTGGTTGAGCTACATCTGTTTGATCATGATATTGATGCTGCACAGGAATAACTGAAGTAGAGCCATGTCAGAGGTCTGGTCGTTTATTTACAGTAACAAAAAAAAAGACCCAAGTGTATTTGTGTGTATATGTATAATATAATATGTGTGTTTTTGTAATATCTGTAAATATGGGTTATCGGCCGTAACAGCAATAATTATATCGGGTATCGATATCGGCTGAAATTTTCAAATCGGTGCATCCCTATTAAAAGTCTTAAGTATCTGATTTATTTCGTACTTAAGTATCAAAAGTAAGTTTCTGACAAAATGTGCTAAAGTAATAAAAGTAAAAGTACTGAGTAAAAATGAACGGTTAGATTTTTCAAAATACATTGATTGGGAGGTGTCCTCTTCCAAAAAAATTTTTTCTAAAGATGTGCAGCTTTGATGGATTATGTACAAACTTAATAAAGTATCAGAATGGTATATATTTATACTTCACATTAGGGCTGGGCAATATGGCCCCAAAAAAATAAATCTCAGATATTTTTCATCCCAAATTTTCGATTTTAATTGATTTTGCTTCCCATTTAACGGAGTGCCTGTGTTTCAGGCGTCGAAACAATCTTTTTGTGCTCCCGCTTTTTGTAGCAAGAGCCTTCAAACTGATTTTGCAGTGAGGTATTTTTTTGCTCYAAGTCCAAGGTTGCGAAACCTAACCAGTTCCAGAAAACTGAAGAAACAGCGTCTTTTTTTAGAAGTAGATCCTCTTTGCTAGCTGCCATATATTCATGTGATGTACCAAAGGTCTTGAGGGACAGGTGGGGTGACCTCTGAACTACAGAAGCCCCAAGGAGTGCACTGGTGAGAAAAAAGTCTAGTTTCCCAAAATTAAATCTTTATAAAAGGCAAATTCAAATTAATCGATTAAATCAATTTATTGCCCAACCCTACTTTTCATCCAACCACAATTAAATTCACTCTATCCAGGAGCCAAATTATTTCATGGTAATATTTTTTTAACAATAACAAGCCGAAATAAAATAAGAGAAATGATTTTCTACTTTTTATCTTTTTTAAAAAATGTAAGCAGTAGAAAGTACAGATAATTGTGTAAAAATGTAAGGAGTAGAAGTAAAAAATAGGCTGAAAAATTCTTACCGGTACTCAAGTAAAGTACAGAGAATGAAAATTTCTACTTAAGTAACAAAGTATTTGTACTTAGTTACTTTACAACTCTRCATTTWGTTGACGTCTGTCCGTTTATCTTTCAGTCTAGATGCCTTGGCTGAGATGAGTGTGAAGGCTTTTGAGCTTATCCCCGCTGTGGAGCGAGACCTCCTCATGGGCGACAAAGCTCGCATCAACATAGAGTGCATCGAATGCTGTGGGAAGCATCTGTACGTGGGCACCAACGACTGCTTCATCCACCACTTCCTGCTGGACGAGGTGGCTTCTTCCAAAGGCAAACTGACCTACTCGGCCCAGAAGCTGCTCCACAAATACCTGGGCCTGAAGAAGCCGGTCGCTGAGCTGCGAGCCGCCTCCGCGCTGGAGCGCCTGATAGTCCTTTGCGACGGGATAGTGTTCCTCGTGGACATGGTGACGCTGGAGTCTGTGCCGTCGGCGGCCGGGGGCGGAGTCAGAATCAGGGGCGTGACTGCGTTCTGCATAAACGAGAACCCGGTGAACGGGGATCCGTTCTGCGTGGAAATGGGCGTGCTCTCGTCCAAGAGGCGGACGGTTCAGGTCTACATGGTGTGTGAGGACAGGGTGCAGCTGGTCAAGGAGGTGAACACGCCGGAGCAGCCCTGCGCCATCAGCCTCGACGGCTACTTCCTGTGCTTGGCCCTCACCACGCAGTACATGATCCTGAACTACAACACGGGAGTCGCGCAGGACCTTTTCCCTTACAACAGCGAGGAGAGGAAACCCATTGTGAAGAGGATCAGCAGGGAGGAGTTCCTCCTTGCAGCTCCTGGTGGTCTGGGTATGTTAGTTTATCTTTGAGTACCATTTTAGAAACAATTGCTAAAATTTAAAACTAGAGTTTAATTTTAACACTTTGTGGTGAATATCTCTTGTATAACCATCAAAAATAGACCCTCTAATTTGTTTTAAAATGTAAAGGTTTCCTCTTTTTTGTTTTAAATTTTAAAAGTTTTTGCTAAAATAGCTTTGTTTAAAGTTTCCCTGTTAATTGAAAGCTAGGAGGAGTACTTCAGTTATAATAAAAATAACTAGAGAAATTGCATTTCCTGCAAAAATGCTAGTGTGAAATCCTGTTGCTGAAAGCTGCTGAAATTGAGCTGAAAATGTTTAACAGCAAAAGTATTTTATTGTAAGTTAAACTTGATAAGCTGAAAGAAGCAAAAAAAGAGCAGAAAATCAGTAAAAAGGAGGAAAATATAGCTGAATTAGCATAAAAATACTAAAAGCTAAAATAGTTGAACATAGCAGAAAGCAAGTGTAAGAAGCATAAATAACTCAAAATAACAGAAAGAAGCACAAAATTAAAAATTAGCAGAAGAATAACAGACAAGGGCAGACATAAAGTTAAAATACTAGAAAAAAGCTAAAATTTGCAAAAGAAAAAAAAGCTAAAATCGTCAAAAGGAATTTAATAAGAGTAAAACAAGAATAGATTGTTTAAGGTTCTGTAAAGATTTAGAAACATTATAAAGAAATTTAAGGATGTTGAAAAAAGCTCCATTCATTTCCAATGGGAAATAGTAGCTGAAATGTTTTCGGCTCCAATTGTGGAAGTTTTTTGAGGCTTCAGAATGTGATAGAGCTTGCTCTCGGCTACCAGTACATAAGATTTCATGGCAATATCTCAAACTTTAAAACTAGCTTTGGTGGCCATCTTGGATTTCTTTTTCGGCTGCTATTTATGATAGAGCGAAGTCTCAGCTACCAATATATTAATTTTTAGCTCAATATATCGAAAAATTGGCCAAATTCAAGTAATTTGATCTAACTTTAGCTAATAACAGCTGAACATTAGCTAAAATTGCAGCGAACATCTGAATAGTGCAGAAAGCAATTGTAGGAAATATAGTAGGCACAAAGTAGAAAAAAGAATTACAAAAAAATATTAACTAGCAGAGAAAAAGCAGAAAGAAGCAGAATTTTAGCTAATTTTAGCTAATATAGCAGCAAAAAGCTAAAATTTGTT